ATTTACCTAGTTTGCCGAGGACCAGCTTAGGGTACAGGCAGCGCAGGCGTTGCATGCTAGGTTTAGGTTGTTGCAACACGCTCGGTTGGTTGCTCACCCGGATGCCCCGCGGCTGCCCCGTTTTGCTTATAGAGATCCGGACTTGGGGTGAGGGGGTCGCCACGACTCTGGTTCAGTCCTCACCTCCTCGTCCTTCCCCTCCGGTTGTTCGTTCTGGTCCCCCTCCCCTGCTTCCGGCCCTGAAACGTCTGAGGGTTTCGGAGCCAGGGCAGGGGTTAGTTGGTCTTGAGACTTGGGGAGCCTCAGGGGGATGCCCCTTCAGGTGTGGCGATGGAGGCATTAACACTTTGGCGTACCCCGCCCGCCACCCCTCAACTGTGCGATTTGGGCCCCAGGGTGTCACGGGAGCGCGCGTAAATTCTGAAAAGTGTATACTCTCTTCAACTTTGTCACCTTAATTCTCGTCCTACGAGATTAAATTTGGTATCATTGTGTTTGCAATAGAATTCTCTACAGCACTAAATGCATATAAACTCCAAAAGCCTGGCTAATTACCCGCAGCAAACAGAGAAAGTGCGAACGAGTTACCCAGGAGCGAGCAAACGCGATAAAATGTTTTCACTATTTTCACTCTGGTCACCTCAATTTTCGTCCTAGGTCTTTCATTTTGGTCTCAATGGGTTCGCAATAGAATTCTCTAGAGGAACATTTGCATATAAAATAAAAAACCTGGTCACGCTCCAACCGCCGATGAGTTGAAGACGGGCGACGCGTTAGCCGCAAGTGAGCGCTCAGACGCCTTCCAGCTACACTCCCAATTCCCGCCCTTTTCAAGCCTTTCTTTCGCAATTTTCTTCCTGGAAGGGCCTTGTTCGTGATCACTATCCATCATGGAGTAAGCGTAGATAGTTTCTAAAGCCGGAATAAGAAATATAGCCATGGAAAATAGCCGAAATGTTCACACGTTTGAGATGCGAGGGGAGGCGACATTGGTCACAACAGTGGAGCGAAAACAATGGGCCCACGGTGTGTGCCAAGCCGCCTGAGGGCCACGAGGCTCAACAAAGAAAATGGGAAGACATCGGCGCACATTTTAAAACCAGTCCCCCAAAAATCGGATAAAAACCTGATTTTTGGCGATTATTTAAAGTGAATGACGCAATGCTGCGTCATCCCCGGCATTACCGACAGTAAACGGATGACGCAATGCTGCGTCATGCCCAGGCGAAAGTGTTAAAGTGTAGTCCCCCCGGCCAAAGCCTCTGGTTCTGACCAGTGGGCCCCTTCTGTCCTGCTTCTACGGCTACGACGGCCTTGTCTTGTGAGGTCGCCGCTTGGGGGAGGACTCAGCCCCAGGTCCTGTGGAGGAGGACCTTGGGGCTGACTGGAAGGCCATGGGCCCCACCTGGGTTTTTCTGCCCTCTGAGCGGGGCTTACTGTTACAAGGAGTGGGGTTTTCTTTACCCCTCTCTGCATACGAGTTGGATTTGGTGTCTGCCCCTTCCCTGGTTCGGTTCCATGTTCCCCCTGGGTGCTTTGGTTCCGTCTTTCCGGAGGTTTTCAGCTTAACGCATTCAACCTGCTGTGGTGCGGGCGGCCCTTGCGGCTAACCTCCTGCGTGACCCGGATTATGTCTCAGCAATGGATTCCTTGGCTTTCAGGTTTGGGACTTCGTTCTCTTTCTGGCTCTATTATGAGGTCCCGGAGTCGTCTTGGCTGGGGGACTGTCCTGTTTTTGCCCTGGAGGCTTGGCACGCCTTCTGCCGTTCCCACATGCTTGAGTGGCGGGAGGCTTCGACGGTGGTTCAGGTTTTCCTGGGGGGCAACCTTGAGCACCTCAATGAGTGCGTGTTTGCTCCTGCCCTTCCATGTGATGTTGGTGTCGTTCAGCTCCATGTGCAGGTTCCCTCCCTTTTGACTGCGTAGGTTGCTGAGGACTTGTGCGCCTGGGGCCTCTTGGCTTCAGCTTTACATTTCTTCTCCCTCCTGGAGCTGTCTACGGACTGGCTCGTGGAGGATGTGAGGGTGCTTGGGGCTGTTCCTGGTTCCGGAGCCTTGGCCTCGGCGGCTCGCTCATCGGCTGCCTTGTTGAAGCTTTTCTCGCCAATCTTGCGGGATGCGGTTTTCCTGTTTTATGCTGCCTGGCTCGCGTGTTGGCAGGGGGTGCTTGCCACCTCTATGGAATCTGCTTGGGCCTTGGCTCTTAGGATGTCTTCTCCTATTTGTCTTCTGCTGTTTGAGGATTCTTCCGTGGCGCAGTATATTCAGGCTGCTTCGGCTTCTTGCCATCCTGTGTTGGCCTTGTTGGTTCTCCGGGGGTCCCGTGGTGGGCCTTCCCGGAAGGGTCGTGCCAGAACTCGGGGTTCCTCTCGTCGTGATAGGCCACTGGTGCCGGGTTCGGGTTTGGCTCCGCCTTCAGACTCGCCTTCATCTGGTTGACGCGGTGTTCGCTCTGTGCGGGGTTCAGGGTCTCGTAAGGGGTGTCGGCCCTTTTGCAGTTCGCCTCATTGACGGGGCGATGGGGGGGGGAGGCTTGCGCAGTTCACTCACGCCTTATCCCACGATTCGTTGGCTTTTTGGGTTGTTTCTTCTGGCCTCCGGTGACGTTGCGTGGCCCCTTTCCCCTTTGGTGGGTTTGGGGCTGGCGGGGCAGGCCTCTTCCCCTGCGCTGTCAGGTCATCTTGGAGTGGGTTCGCTTGGGCATGGTGGAAACGATGATGTCCCTCAGATGGGTTTCTGTCTGCAGGTCCGCGCAGGTCTGCGCAGACCTGCGGTTCATTCTGGACTTGTCCTGTCTGAACCCCTGGGTTCATTGCCCATCCTTTCGGATGACTACGCTGTCCCAGGTTTGGCTCCTGTTGGACCCGGACACTTAGATGGTGTCCCCTGGACCTCCAGGACGCTTATTGGCACATCCTGGTTCATCTGAGGTTCAGGGACTGGCTCGGTTTTGTTGTTTGGCATCGAGGTTACTGCTTTCGTTGTCTCCCATTCGGGTTGAATCTGGCACCTCTTGTCTTCACATGCCTTACATGGGTCGCGGTAGCCCGTCTGCGTCTGTTAGGTGTTCGGGTGTTGGCCTATCTCGTTAACTGGCTGGTTTGGGCTCCCAGCTAGTCCGCTTGTCTGCTAGTTATGGATTTGGTTCTTTCTCAGCTCGCCGGGTTCGGGTTCCTTGGTGAACTGGAGGAAATCCCATTTGGTTCCCTCCCAGGTTCGGACCTGGCTGGGTCTTGTGTGGTACTCTCATATCGCTTCCTTGTCTCTCCCTCCGGAGTCTCTATTGCGGCTGCGATCCTGCATGTGCATATTTATGAAGGGCTACCAAGGCACCTGGCGGTTGTTCAAGGGTCTGTGCGGGAGCCTGAACTTCGCAATGATGGTCTACCCGCTGGGTCGAGTTTGGCTTGTCGCAACATGTCATGGGCTGACATTCGGGTGTGGGGATTTTGGCGGTCGAACAGGGTCCTGGCTGCGTGTTACCTCGTGCTTGATCCTGGGCCTCATTGGGCCTGTGTTGCTTTGGGTTGGCGGTTGCAGCCAGTTGTGTTAGCTTTGCGTTGAGGAGCCAGCAACTACCGCCTCCCGGGGTAAGTCCCTCTTGTTTTCGTCCTTGGGTAAGTAGCTCCGGGGAGCCGATGGGGCTTCCCCCAGAAAACCAGCATTGAATGTAATTTAACTCCATTTTCTGGGTGAGACCTGGAGGCTCCCTGGCTACCCTCCCTCCCCTAGTCAGCGATTTTTCATGTGTTTTTTATATCCAGCCTCAGAACTGGGGTCATGGGTAGCCGGCACGAGGGGTCTAGGGCTCCCCCTTCCTCCTCCCAGGGAAGGGAGAGCTGCACAGATGACGGCGCGGCGACATGATGGCGTCATGCACGTTTGCTCGTTTTTGTTTGGGGAGTTCTGTCCACTAGTTTGGCTCTCGGTAGCAATTTCTTAAAAAGAATACGGGTTTGTTTTGGGATGCTTACCTTTCTGGGTTCCTGACCCGGTCAATGGCAGACATAAAATGCTTCCAACCACATGAGGGTTTCTATAGGCCATTGCTCCTCGTGCCTCTCTTAGGGGGCCAGGTTCTGACTCTTGATCCCCGGTAGGCCTAAGAACTTCATTCACACTTGACAGATGCCAAAGTCTAATAATAGCATATTAGTCTGGATAGCTCCATGGAGCCTCCGGGTCTCACCCAGAAAGTGGCGTTTCATTACATTCAACGCTGGGGTTTTTTTACGAGCCAGAGATCTGGTTCTTTCCTGGCTTGCTGGGCTTAGCTTCCTGGTGGACTGGAGGAAATCTAAGTTGGTTCTGTCCCATGTTTAGACTTGGTTTGGGATTCCTGGTTGGTTTCCCTTTCCTTGCAGTATGTGACTCTGCTACCTGCAGTACCACCTCCGTCTGGTGTTGGACGAGCCGCAGATTACTCAGGAGTTGGTTAACCAGTTGTATGGGAAGTGAACTTTGTCTGTGTGGTTTTTTCTTGGGCAAAGTTTGATTCAATGTATTGATCTGATTTCTCTGGTTCTGTCAACTTCACCACTTCCAGGACCATCAGTTTCAGGCTACATTTACCCCTCATCCCCCTACCAACTTTTGCTTTACTGGTTTCCTCATCTGGCTTTTTGGGGTTTTGTTCCATGGTACCTTCCTCTCCCTTTCGGTCGGTGTTCATGGATGCCTCGCCGCTGAGTTGGGAGCATTGTAACCATTGCTCACCAGGCCTCCCAAGGTCATTGGGCTCGTCTTCTCCTCTCTTGGGCTAATTCACTCACATGTGTGGAGATTCAAGAAGCCACTGAGGCCTAACCAGAAAAAGGCATTTCATTATGTTAATTTTTTTTTTTTTTCATTCCATTGAAATCTATCAAACTAGTTTTCCTTCGTTAAAATGTAACACTTATTTTGCAGTAGTAGGAAACTGATGTGAATTAGTCTTTTAGAACCAAACTCCACTGTGCTTCATGATTTTTATATTTAATTTTTTTTTTTTTTTTTTACAGACTGCGATTCTTGTTTCCCCGTCATAATTTGATCGTGGCTTCTTACGACATTGTCCGCAATGATATAGACTTCTTTTCAAAAATTAAGTGGAATTATGTCATATTGGATGAAGGACACATTATCAAGAATGGGAAAACAAAGGTATTGTCTTTTTTCTGTTGAGAGTCCCTTTGGCTCCGAGCTATACCGGGCTGACGTGCATATGTTAGACCATGGCAACAGTCAATCGATGGAGTTCTAGGCCTACCGGGGACCAGAGCCAGAACCTGGCCCCCTCAATTCCAGGAATTCCAAAACAAACTACAGCTGGTCAAAAATTGCAAACCAAAAGCTGAACTAGCAAACAGAACTCCCCAATCAAAAACGAGCATGATGCCACCTCGACCGCCATGCAGCTGTCTGCACAACACCTCTCCCCCTCCCCGGAAAGGGGAAGGGTGGGGGGGTCCCAGACCTACATGCTGTCTACTCAAGTGCAGTTCATGAGGCTCTTGTGTTGGTGACTGTCATCGACTCTGGCTCCATTCTTTGCGCTGGGTTTTCTTTTGTTTTTGTTTTATTTTGCCTGCTCCTTTGGAGCTTATTTGTTCGATGGAGGAGACCTCTGAGTCCCACTTCGCCTTGTGCGAGTTTGAAGATTTCTTTGTCCCCTTGACTCAGGGTGACACTCACCATCTTTGCCTCCACCATGCTGCTTGTTGGGTCAAGGACACCTTTGACCTGGAATCCTGCGAGTGGTGTTCTTTGCTTGTACTCCAACTCGCCCAGTCCACTGAGACTGATATTTGAGTGCAGGCAACTTCAGCATTGCATGCAAGGTTTAGGTTGCTGCAACATGCAAGATTGGTTGCCTTTCTGAATGCCCCGCTTTGTTGGACCTGGACTTGGGGGTATTAGTCGCCTTGATTGCATCCCCCTAGTCCTTCCCTTGCTGTGGTTCATCCTGCTCTCCCCCCCTCCCCTTCCTCTGCTCCTGGATCCCAAATGTCTGAGGGTTTTGGAGTCTGGGCAGGTCTTGCCTGAAACTCTGGTGGCTTTGGGGATTGCCCCTTCCAGTTCGGTGGCAGAGGCATTCGAGCCTGTTCCTCCTGCTGGAGCTTTCAGGTCGCTCCAGTGGGCCCCTCTTCATCCCTGCTTTTCTGTTGGACTCTGCTTTTTCTTTATCGGCAGAGGGTTTGGAGGACGGCTCGGCTCCGGGTCATGACATGGAGGAGTTGACTTGGGCTCCATTTGACCCCGCTTTGATGTTGGTATCCTCGGCACAGGGCTTGTTGTTACAGAGGGAGGGGTTTTCCTATGCCCCCCCCTTTCCTGTACTGTATTGTTTTGATATGAGTACGACTCCTCCCCAGATTCGGTTCCGGGTTCCCTTGGGTTCTTTGGTTCCCTCCTTCCAGAGGTTTTCAGCTTCCCACATCCCACATAGGGAGGTGCAAAAGGCCCTTGCGACTTGGCTCCTGCGAGACCCAGATTGCGCTTTGATAATGAGGCCTTCTTCTTTTGAGTTTGGCTCCTCTTTTCCTTATTGGGTGCGTTATGATGTGCCGAAGTCTTCCTGGCTGGCAGACTGCCCTTTCTTTTCGTTAGGAGCTTGGCAGTCGTTCTGTCGGACCCACATGCTTGAGTGGCGGCAGTTGACTACCTGTACGGTCATTCAGGTTTACCAGGGGAGTGAGTTTGAGCACCTCAATGCGTGCTTGTTCGCTCCCGTCCTTCCTCGTGATGTCGGCCAGGTTCCCCCCTTTCGGCATCCCTGGTGGTCGAGGATTTGTGCGCTCAGGAGCATTTAGCTTCAGTCTTGCGATTCTTTTCCCAGCTGGAGCTGTCTTCGGACTGGCTCGAGGAGGATGTAGAGTAGCTGGGTTCTGGGCCAATGTCCGGTGTGTTTGCTTCGGCGGCTTGGGCGTCGGCTACATTGTTGAAGTCGTATGCACCGATTCTGAAGGAGGTGGTGTCTCTGTTCTTTGCTTCACGCCTCGCGTGCCGACAGGTGACGCTCATCCATTCTTTGGAATCTGCTTGGGCCCTGGCTCTTAGATTTTCGTCTCCTCTTTGTCAGTTGCTGTTCGCAGAGTCTGTGGTGGTGCATTTTCTGTAGGCGACTTCGTCTGGCCTATGTCAGACTTGTTGGTTCTTCGGGGAAACCGTGGTGGTCATGCCCGGAAGGGTCGTGCCAGGGCTCGGGATTATCTTGTGATGATTTTGGGGCTTATAGTCCCTGCGGCCCGGTCCTGAACCAGGTTTCCTTTTTGTTACAATTCCCTTCCCCCCAGGAAGCAGCCCGGCGCAGCTGTCTAACTCCTAGGTACCTATTTACTGCTAGGTAACAGGGGCATCAGGGTGAAAGAAAAATTTTGCCCATATGTCTCTGCCTCCACCGGAGATCGAACCCGGAAGCTCAGGAATATGAACGTCCCGATTCATCCGGGGCTCAAGGACTGGCTTGGTTTTTTCTTTGGGCGACAGGCTCACTCCTTTCGTTGCCTTCCATTCGTCTTGAGTCTGGCACCTCGCTTGTTCACACGCCTTTCCCGGGGTCGTGGTGACCCATTTGAGTCTGTTAGGGGTTCAGGTTCTGGCTTACCTCGACGACTGGTTAGTCTCGGCTCCCAGTCAGTCAGCATGTCTGCTCGCCAGGGATTTGGTTCTTTCCCAGCTCGCCGGGTTCGGGTTCTTGGTGTACTGGAGGAATCCCATTTTATTTCCTCTCAGGTTTGAACTTGACTGGGTCTCGTGTGGGACTCTTGGACTGCTTCCTTGTCTCCCTTCTACGGCGTTGTTGCAGCTGCGGTCCCGCCTTCAACTGTTTTTTGAGGGCACCCGGGTCACCCGTCGGTTGTTCGAGCGGCTGTATGGAAGTCTGAACTTGACAGTGTTGGTCTACCTGTTGGGCCAGATCTGGCTTCGTCTGCTGTTCAGGTTCCTTCGGGCACATTCCTTCCACCGCTCTCATGATTGCTGGGTTCAGTTCTCGGGAGTCTTGCTTCACCGGCTTCCTCTTTGGGTTTTTCGGGGTTCTGTGCCGTGGTGCCTTCCCGAGCCCTCGCTCGATGTGTTCACAGATGCCTCGTCTCTCATCTAGGGTTTTGTGACGAGTGCTCACCAGGCCGGCCAGGGTCGGTGAGGTCCGTTCTTTCGTCGGGCTCACAGCACGACGCAAGAGTTTGCAGCGGTGTGGCATTTGCTTCAGAGGGTTCGTGTCGCTCGTGGAGCAACGATCTGGCTCCATTCGGACTGCTTCCCTGTGGTTCATTGTCTGAACTGCGAGGGTTCGATGCGGTCCTTGGCTCTTTGGAGCTGGTCGCTTCGGGTGACTTGTCTGCTGAATTCTCAGGGTTTGGCTCTCCTGGCGGTTCACATTCAGGGGGTGTCAAATGTCCTGGTGGATGGCCTGTCTCGGTTCATTCCCTTGTCCACTGAATGGACTGTCAACGCCGACTCGTTCAGTTGGCTCTGCCGGACATATGGGCACCCGTAGGTGGACCTCTTCACATCAGTGTGGTCGAGGCCTCTTCCAGTTTATGTGGCTTTCCCCGACTGCGAGGCCTTCAGGGCCGATGCCTTTCAGGTGGACTAGTCAAGGTAGGGTTATCTGTACCTCTTCCCACCAGTTCATTTGTTGCTCTGGGTCCTGGCTCGCTTGGAGACGTACCCGGGAAGAATAGTCCTGTTGGCCCCTTGGTGGGCAGTCTAGCTCTGGTTTCAGGCGCTGCTTGGTCGATATCCGAACCAGAGGGTCTTCCCGTGGCTCCACTTCTTTCAGCAGATCGGGCCGGTACAGTATGTGGCTGGTTCGATCTTCTCCTCCGCTCTTCCCGTCTGATCTTTTTGAAGCGGGTTTATCACTACTTGTATGGTGATCAGGTGGCTTTGATGGTGGTGTCCCACCTGCAAGATTCGTCTCAACGGCAGTGTGAAGTTTCCTGGTGGTTCTTTCAGCACTTTTTGTCTCTACGTAGGCTGTCTTCGATTTCTGATTGGGTTGTTTTGTCCTCTCTTTCTTGGTTGTTTCAGGTCCGTCATCTTATGTCAAATACTGTCGCCTTGTATCGTGTGCCGTTGGCAGAGCCGCTTCAGCTTGTGTTCGGCGTAGATGTCACTGCTGCTCTGTTCTGCAAGCTTTCTCGGGCGTTGTTTCACCTCCAGCCTGCTCCTGCACCACCTGAGCCGTCCTGGTTGTTGGACCGGTTGCTCTCTCTTTTCTCTTCTCCTCAGTTTGTGGTGACCTCCCCTTGGTTCAGGATTGTTCTTCTAAGGCTCTTTTTCTTGTTGGCATTGGCCTCTGGGGATCGGGTCAGGGAGGTTCATGCTCTCCTGGTGCAGGGGTTTCTGCTCTTTCGGTCCTGGTGATTGTTTTGTTTGTTTGCAGCCATCTCCTTCTTTTCTAATGAAGAACGAGTCTGCTGCTTTCCGGAGGGGTCCTTGGGTTGTTGATGTTTGGTTGGTTCGGCCAGGAGTGCATCATGTTTTGTGTCCGGTTGCGGCTCCTTGCCGTTATTTGCGCGCCACAGCCTCTGTGGCAGGGGATGTGCTTTGAGTGGACCCGGTTTCCCTTCTTCCCTGTTCCAGGTGCGGGTCTTCCAGGTCATCCACTGGATTATTCGGTCCAGCCAGCCTGCGGTCTGTCCCCGTGCCCAAGACATCATTAATGGCCGCACGGTACCTTATTAATGTTCTTGGCCTTTCTCGGGCGTGTGTAGCTTTGGGTCACAGGTTGCAGCCAGTTGTCTTGACTTAGAGTTGAGGAGCGAGTGGCGGCTGTCTCCCGGGTAAGTCCCTTTTTTTCCTTTATCTTTGGTTAGGTAGCTCCAAGAAGCCGGAGGAGGTCTCCACAGAAAACCAGCGTAGAATGTAATGAAATGCCATTTTCTGGGTGAGACCTGGAGGCTCCACAGCATCTGTGCATTTTTTATATTCAGCCTAAGGTGAGTAGCTAGCACGGTCTGGGACCTCCCCTGTCCCCCATACTGGGGAGGGAGGAGTTATGCAGACCGCTGCGCAGCAGTTGTGGTGGCATCATGTTTGTTTGCTTGTTTTTGATTGGGAAGTTCTGCTTGCTAGTTCAGCTTTCAGTTTGCAATTTTTGACCACCCTGTAGTTTGTTTTTGAATTCCTACCTTTTTAGGTGCCTGACCTGGTAGATGGCTGACATAGACTGCTTCAATTACAAGGGGGTGTCTATAAGCCATTGCTCCTCATGCCTCTCTTGAGGGGGGCCAGGTTCTGGCTCAGATCCCCAGTAGGCCTTGAACTCCATCGACTGACTGTTGCCATGGTCTAGTATATATGCACATCAGCCCAGTATAGCTTTGGGGAGCCTCTGGGTCTTGCCCAGCAAATGGCGTTTGATTACATTTAGTGCTAGTTTTTTGCTAACATAAACCTTCAAGTGACACCGAGTAGAAACTTTATAAAAAAATATTATGACATGGGATCATGTGACATCTATATTTACCCTGTATTTAAAACATTACTGTATTACTCAAAAGTACTGTGTATACCCCAAATAATATGGGACCCACCCTCATTCGAGTTAACCAAATTTTTACCTGGAATGTCCAAAAATTTAATTTGAATTCATTCAGGTTTTCCTTGGCCAGAAATCTCGGTAAACCAAATTTTTTAGTTGAGCAGTCAAAACCTCAAACTCGAATAATTTATTTGGATTACTGAGCTCTTACGGTATATTGAGTTTTGGTGTGTACTTTTTGCAACTTCTATGTTAAGGTTTACATACTGAATAGGGTGTGACTTTTATATACAATATATCAAAATGACATTAGTAATAGTTTCCCATCTTTTTCTGCTAACAGTCCAGTAAAGCCATCAAGCAACTTGTAGCTCACCACCGTTTGATTCTCTCTGGTACTCCTATTCAAAATAATGTTTTAGAGCTGTGGTCGCTCTTTGACTTCCTCATGCCGGGTTTTTTGGGCACCGAGCGTCAGTTCATGGCACGTTACTCCAAGCCAATCCTGCAGTCTCGAGATACCAAGAGTTCCAGCAAAGAGCAGGAAGCTGGTGTTTTGGCCATGGAAGCCTTGCATCGTCAAGCACTTCCTTTTCTTCTCCGGCGAATGAAGGAGGACGTGTTGAAGGATCTACCTCCCAAGATTACACAGGTGAGTAATTCCTGAAAATTGGGGTGCAGTGCTACTTTTAGGTAGATGAATTTGGGAGATGGCATCAATAATTTTATTACATGTTCGATATTAAATTAATGAGTTAAATTTTAGTACAATACAGTGTACATGAAAATTAAAAATTTAAATTAATATAAAATTAAAAAATTATAAAATTATAATAGTATAAGCTGGTAGTTTATAATAGTGAACAATAAATTAGCAAGCTGTATGTACTCAAGTGAGGACTGTCTCCTTTAAATGATTGAAATATTAGTACTGTATCTTAATTTCTAAGTATGTAGAGTGATCCCCTCCCTTGAGTATATGTATGCTCCAAGATATAGGCAAGTGCAGAACTGCAAGGATGAAGCCCTGCCTTCGGTATTACCAGGCAGCTTATTTATTTATTGTTTTTGACACTCAAAAATTGGTTTTGCTTCTCATTTTTCTTCATTTAAGATGAATTGTTTTGTGTTTGTTTAAAAGTAAATAAATAATTGAAGAGTGAAGACTGACCTGTGCTGATTAGTGGAAAATGGGAAAATGTATTTATGCTCATAACACATTCGGTGAGATGACGGTCTTAAAGTTCATTGTCGCCTACTGTAAAGTTAATGAGGAATAATGCCACCGACCAGTCACAGAGCAAGTCAAGAGGTGTTCTCCGCCCATCATGTTTATGCTTGTCGGTTCAATTTCTGGCCTTTCCTCCTAATGTATGTAGTACTGAAGAAAAAGCCTCAATATGTATGCCAACATTACTAGTAACTTTTGGAGCTGCGTATTCTCTGCCAGTGTCAGTAATACACTAGTACCACACTGCTCTACTACTCCACACTACATAGTGTCCAGCAAGAAAATGGATTTGGAGAAAAGTCACATACAGGGTAATTTTTTATACCCAGATGAAAGAAGTTTCAAAAGATGGGACAGAGAGTGTGTGTGGAACTGGCCAGAAGACCCACTTGCATATAGAGCAAATGGTTGCTCTGGTATTCTGTGCAGACCCACTGCACAGAAACACAGATACACTCACAACCCCACTACCAGAACAGGGAGTCTGGTAGCTGAGAGGACAGCGCACGGGACTCGTAATTCTGTGGCCCTGGGTTTAATTCCTAGACTAGGCAGAGACAAATGGGCAGAGTTTCTTATCACCCTGATGCTCCTGTTACTTAGCAGTAAATTGGTACTTGGAGGTTAGACAGCTGTTACGGGCTGCTTTCTGGGTATGTGTGTGTGTGTGTGGAGGGGGAAAATATAAATAATTAGTAGTTAGTAACAGTTGATTGACAGTTGAGAGGCAGGATGAAAGAGCAGAGCTCAACCCCCGCAAGCACAACTAGGATAATACAGAGCTACAAGTACGACAGGCAACAACCCTGCAACAATCGGTACTGGTCAAGTCCGATATGTCCACACATAACGGACTTGCCAGAAATGTCTCCCAGTCAAATTACCCCAAATAGAGTAACTATATTTTCATCTTTGCCAACATACAAGGACTAAAAGCAAGACCAAAAAACAAGGAACTGCTCATAAATGGCCTCTTCACTGAGTCAAATGTAATATTTGGAGCTTTAACAGAAACCCTCGATAATTTGGCAAAGCCAATACCTGATACTGCACAGTATTATCTTCCTAGGAGACTTCAGTCTGCCCTGTCTAAGATGGAGAATAGCAAAGAATATAATTATACCAGAAAATCCATCTGGCTATAATCAACCACAGGTTAGAAAACTACTAAGATTCTGTGACATTTTCACCCACCCAGCAGATAACAGAACCAACTAGGAACGAAAATATTCTAGATCTGATCACAAATAATGAAGACATAATAAGGGACATTACAATCTCTTTTACCACACACAGGGGGCACCTCAGTTTAAGACTTTAATCTGTTCCTGGAGACGGCTTGTAATCCAAAAACTCGTAAACCGAAGCTAATTTCTCCACAAAAAATAATAGGAAATGAATTAATCCATTCCTGACTTACCCTTGCTGATGACTGCTGTTGGTGTATGGAAGATGGTGAGGAGGGGGAAGGAGGAGAGGTGTTACTGTTTGGAAGGGGAGTCCCCTTCCATTATAACATCAGGCAGTGAGGACCTCTCTGGGGTGCATTCTCTGGCACGTTTTGCCTGTATACCACTAGGTCCTGGTTGTGGCTCACTGCTCGATTTTCTCACAACAAAGCGGTCCATTGAAGATTGTTTTTCCCTTCTTCGCACGATATCTCTGTAATGAGGCATTACATTGTCATTGAAAAGATTAATGCAACGGCCTACTACAGTTTTCTCTGGGTGAGTCGTTTCAATAGAAGTTTGCATTTCTTCCCAAATCTGACACCACTTCTTAATGGTTGTGGAAGGGACATTCTCTGCTGCCTCATCCTCCTCCACTGGAGAAACATTCTCAGCTGTGTCTTCTTGCTGTTCCTTTTGAAGGGCTTGGAGTCGAGTCACTTCTTGCCAGGCTTTGTCAATGATTTTTAAAGCACTACAAATGTTAAAATGGTGTTTCCAGAACTCTTTAAGGGGTGAGGTTTGTGGCTTCAGTCGCTTCAAAACATTTCCGGAAAAGTGCCCTTTCATAAAGTTTCTAAAAATTTGCTATGATTTTCTGGTCCATAGGCTGTATTAGAGGAGTGGTGTTAGGAGGAAGGAACTTTACTGTGAGAAAATTACTGTATCTGTGCAACAATTCATCTTCCAAGCCTGGAGGATGAGCAGGAGCATTGTCGAGGAAAAGCAGGGGCCTTGAGTGGCAAATGTTTCTCCTGCAGATATTTTTGTATGGCAGGGCACACCACATTATTCACCCACTCCAAAAAAAAATCCTAGTCACCCATGCCTTATTATTAGCCTTCCACATCACACACATTTGGTTTTTCTGCACTTTATACTGTTTGAAAACCCTTGGATTTTCAGAATGATACACAAGCAAGAGTTTAATTTTCAAATCGTCACTCACATTTGAACACAGCACAACCTATCTTTCATAGGCTTGTGTCCGGGCAATGATTTTTCCTCTTTGATAATGTATGTCCTCTGAGGCATTCTTTTCCAAAACAGTCTTGTCTGATAACCACTTGTTGTGGTAGGTATTCCTCAGCCTCTACAAACTCTTTAAATTTTTCAATAAATCTTTCAGTCGCTGGTTTGTCTGAGCTGGCAGCCTCCCCATGCCTCACAACACTATGAATACCACTTCTTTTTCTAAATTTGTCAAACCATCCCCTGCTTGCCTTAGTCTATCGTATCTGCACTTGTTCCAGGGGTTTTCTTTACAAGGTCTTCGTGTAATACCCTGGCTTTCTCACAAATGATGGCCTCTGAAACACTATCACCCTTTAACTCCTTGTCGTGTATCCAAATTAATAACAACTTTTCCACATCCTCAAGTATTTGTGGTCTTTGTTTCTTGATTGTTTACATGCCTTTTGCACTTTAGTACTCATAATGTCCGGTTTCCTGGCAGGTATAGTTCATATCGTTGACGTGGATTTGTTGTACTGCCTGCGAAGTTCAACAACACGTGCACCATTTTTATGCTTCCGAATGATCTCTTGTTTTTCCTCTATTGTCATCCTCACATGCGATTTCTTCCCTGGAACCTTACCACTGGCTTTCTTGGGACCATTGGTGAGATATATATAATAACAACTTTTCTGTGGGGAGCCCCTACGGCTCCCTGGAGCTTATCGGGCTAATGTATGTTATGTTAGACCGGGACATTAGCTAAGGAGTTCAGACCTACCAGGGACCAGCGCCAGAACCTGGCCCCTTCAGAGAGGTTTCAGGGAGCAATGGCCCTGGAAAACCCCATATGGTTGGGGGTTTTCCTTATCTGCCATCGACCGGGGTTAGGCACCCAGAAAGGTAGGCGTAACAAAACAAACCCCACATGGTAAGAAACTACAACAAAAACCGAACAGAGAGGTAGAAAACTCCATACAATCCCAAGGAAACAAGCAAACAAGCAAACATCACACTTTACTGCCGCGCCGATCGTCCGCGCAGCCCTCCCCACCCCGGGAGGGGGAGGGGGGAGCCCCGAACCTATCGCGCCGGCTGCCAAGCTCCAGTTCGTTCGTTAATGTCAACCGGGATTGACGCTTCTCTGGCCTCAGTTTCCTAGGCGGTGTTTGCCTTGTGTGGCGTTCACTGCCGTGTGTTGTGGTGTGCGGTGGCCAGGAGTACTTCATCAGTGCCGGGGCTGCATGTGCTTAGTGGCTGACTTCCCTAAGCGCCCTGTGAGTACTGCCCTTGCGTAACAGGGTTATCTTCCCTGGGGCGTTCGGGAACCATTCCCGTAGAGGTTCTTGCTGCTCGGCATTTGCCTCGCCCTTGGGGCCAGCTGGGGCTTGGGGCCCTTGTTTGGCCCTGGGTAGGGATTGGTATTGTGCTGGTTAGGGCGTCAAGGTGTTGCGCAGCCTGCCACCTAAGCGGCGGCCGGTTTCTGTTGCCTCTGGAGACGGTGTACTTTTGTGGGGTTTTTCTTTTGTTTTTAATTTTCTTGCCTGGTGGGGGTCTGCCTAAGGTGGTTATAGTTCCACTGCTAGTGTTTGGCGGCCCTCTGCTAGGCCCCCGTGCTTGTACACGTCTCAGGGGTTTTCAGTGCTATAATCTACCCTCTTGTTATGTTTGGGTTTCTTAACCGGTTAGCAACACCTTGCCCGGGCTTCCCGTAGTTGTTACCCTACGGGCCCTGGAAACCCCTGTCTGGGCTCGGCGGACCATTGAATGTGTCTTCCGGGTTCCAACCCGTCTTGAACGGGATCGTTGGTTGCTGTTCCCTTGTCTCCGGGTGACAGTCGCCATTTTTACCTCCGTCATGCTGCCTGTTGGGTCACTGACACCTTGACCCGGAGTCTTGCGAGTGATTCTCTGCTTGTTCTCCAGTACTCTCCTGATGTTATTACTGTTCAGAGTACAGGCGGCATCCGTGTTGCAAGCTAGGTTAGGTTGCTGCAACATGCTAGGTTGGTTTCCCAC